ACGTATGCCAGTGCCGCCAATTTAGGTTCAAGGCGCGTTTGGTGATTCCATATATATCATGACAGCTTACACCGAAAATGGAAAAGCACTGCTGCTACGGTACAGCTCTCCTACTAACAATGCAGCAAAGAAGGGAAGCCATGGATGAGATTGACCAGTTTTAGTACCTCAGCTCAGTCAGCGATGGCACCATTCAGTCAAACTGAGCTAAGAGGATCGCCCTTGCCTGTGGTGCTTTTGGGATAATGGTGCTGCGTTCCCGCCACTCGCCAATGGTATCTGTACTCGACCATAACCTCACGAGATCAAAACCCAAGGCCGGATGAAAGTTGGGAAACACGGGCAAGTAGTTGACAATGGTTGGCATCCTGAATGCAATGCCTAACGCCTACTTATTAGGAAGGTTCAGGAGAGAGGAAGACAGAGAAGAGCGGGAGACTACCGGAATGCCTGAACTACACGTATAACTCTGTGAACCAAGCCGCGATTGCTCCCAGTGGTGAAACTGCTTAATCAACATTGCAGAAGGGAACAGTAAAGGTCAGAGGAGTGTCGACTTGCGTTCATGGCACACCCACAACTGCATAGGTCACATGAAAGGTTGAAAAATATGCCTTCGTGTTGTAACGCTTTAAAGAAACATATCCAATTTTTCAAATTACGAAGAAGGTAGATGTGAGTAAAACTTATAGGCACCTTTCTTTCTACAGGCGAAATTTGATCAATCAGGGAAATCTACCGAAATGATAAATCTTGTCTTTACCAAGAATGATTTTTGAAATTGTTTTCACATTCCCTTTTTTAGTAATTTGAAAAAATGGAAAAGTCCTTTTCAATAGACATATCACTCAGGGTACTGCTGACTGCACTGAAATGAGTTAATGTGTATATTGTCCGAGTACAGCAGGAGTTAATGTGCGGTAGCTACATTGAAACAATGTGTGCCAAAAATTCTTCTACACGCGTGCCTTTGAGTTGCATAAATCTATAACAAGGGTGGTCTGAGATACAGCTGGGATAATATTTGACATTTCATATAAATACCGCTGAAAATGAAGCTCCATTTCGGCAATGCGTATGATTTTCTTGAGGCTGCTGATTGACACATTGCGAGGTGTAAGCTTGCCACTGGTTTCTGGTCAAGCTGAGGTCGATTTTCACGCCAATTAGTGGCCAACGCTCCGGGCATGTGTACAACGTTAATTGAGCGGTTGATGAACGTCATTGTGGATTATCGATCATAGTGTTTGTTGGATACATTTCGGCATTGTCTGGTGATATAAGCTCTGGTCGATTAACGTAGTT